CCACATGAATTGTTTACTACTGTAAATAGCACAAAAGATCTCGCGAGCTTTGACTTCTCAACAGCACATCGTATCCACATCGCAATGCGGCAGTAAACCAAGGGATTTTTTGTGTATTTATTATGAAGTTTTTACGATCCAAAGAATGTAGCGATGGCGTTTTCCAGAAAGGAAAGTAGTTGTAATAGCGAGCACTTATCATTCTGATAGGCTGCTACGATACAAAGGAAAGTAGCTGTAATAGCGAGCACTTATCATTCTGATAGGCTGCTACGATACTCATTTACCTGAATTAACAAAAAATGCTCACTTAACCTATGATAATAATGCAAAATCAAGTCAGGAGGCATGCTTCAAAAACGACATCCAGTTTGTTGCGCCATCGTTAGAGCACGCCACTACAGTACTTCGTTTGTGCTCAGTGAGTTTACCCACCTATTTGCCCCATCAAGAATCTTCCAAATGCTACAGCTGCAGGCCTTGGGCTTGATATCCCCTTACGTAACGATTTACACGCAGTCCACGGATTTGGAACGAGCTGCGCAGCAATTACATGTATTATATTAGTGTTGAGATCGCAGTTAATAGTTCTCGTTTGTGAAGCGGGTATTCGTTGATGTTCTCGATTACTGTAGATAGATGTCAGCAACAAGTAGTAGAAAGTGAGATTTCGAACAAGGACAGTAGCTTCAACACTGTACATAGTTGGAAATGGAGAGTATCAAAACGAAATGACATTGATCTTAAATGTACTGCAACGAATGCAGTCATTGGAGCATCTACAATGTTTCGGATCCCTATGAACAAGACAAGTCAGCTCGTCTGAGCCACGTTTAGTTTCCAGGGGGCAGCGTCAGGTTGGGGAACGAGTAACCAGCCGGTGCCTTCTCACATCCAGCATCCGGGCCCGAGCACACGGAGCAGATCTGCGAGAACAGGGAACGCTTGCAACCGAACTGGGCACGAGCACACACGGGACTGTTCAGGTAGCACTTGGGGTTGGACGCCGACATGCTCTCAACCGACGGCAGAGGGCTCATGTTGGGGCTCTTGCCGCTGCTGATCAACTGGTTGTACATGGTCACCATTTGCGCGGCACGGTTAGCGTTGGCGTTCTGGTCACCCGGGTTCTTCCAGAAGTCGATGCACTGCTCCACCTCGAAGCCACGGCCAGTGTTTCTGGCCTTGAACTCGATACCGCCGCTCTGGCAGAACTGCTGGTAGTTCTGGAAGCCCATCTTGGTGATACCGACCAGGTCGTCGATGTTGATGTAGCCCAGAATCTTGTAGTTGTACGTGCACTTGACGCCATCAGGCTGCACGCCCATGGGGCACAGACCGCCGTCGTACTGCGCTCTGCACTCGGCCGTCTTGTCCGCACGGTACTTCTGAGCGCACGAGTTGGGGAACGAGCACCAGTAGTTGTTCGGGTAAGGGGCACGCGGGTCCGATCCCTGCGGGTTGCAACCGACGTTCGGGCCGATGTCCTTCGTGCCGTCCAGACCGTAGTAGACCTTGCAGCTCTTGGGGATGTCCGAGCCAGCGTTCGTGCACTTGGCACCGTCCATAGCCACGAAGTCACCGTACTCCGGAGGACTGTGGTTCTCGTAGTACTTGATGGCGTTCGTGGGTTGCACGATGGTCATTTCGTAGAACACGACGTACTGCATGTTGTTCTTACGCTGGCACTTGACCGACTGCTCGTTCACGTTGATGCCCTCGGCCTGCACGTACATGAGCGCGCCTTCCACGGACGCCATGTTAACGGTGTCCAGGTTGTTGACGTAGTTCTGCTCCGTGTTGGAGCCGTACTTGGACAGCCACTGACTCACCTCCGGGTGCCACACGGGGGCGTCACCCTGGACACGGGCCTGGACGACCTTGACAGGCGACATCTTCCAGCCGCCAGTGTTGCCACCAGTGCTGGACTTCTGCACGGTACTGGAGATCGAACCCGGGCTCGACTTGCCGGTGCCCTTGGAGCTCTTCAGCCAGCAGGTACCGCCGTTGTAGCTGGTCCAGGTGAAGGCACCACAGGCGTTGTTGTTGGAGCAGATATTGCAGCACCCGTTGGCGTTAGCACTGGGAGCGCTGCCAACATCAGCACCGCTGTAGTCCACGTTGTTCTCAAGCGACGGACAGGTCGCAGTCGACGACGACGACTGCAACACGCCGGAGACAGCACCGCTGCTGGCCTTAGCCGTGCCCTTGGACTGCTTCAACCAGCACGTACCACGGTTGTAGTTGGTCCACGTGAAGGCGCCACATCCGCTCGTCTTGGAGCAGATCGAGCAGCATCCGTTGGCCGACGAGCTGGGAACACTGCCGACATCAGCACCGCTGTAGTCGACGTTGTTCTCCAAAGGAGGGCAAGATCCCGACGACGATGACGTCTGCAGGACAGCCGACACAGCACCGTTGCTGGACTTAGCCGTACCCTTGGACTGCTTCAACCAACAAGTACCGCCGTTGTAGTTCGTCCACGTGAATGCACCACAGCCATTCGTGCTGGAACAAATCGAGCAGCATCCGTTGGCCGAAGAACTGCGAGCGCTGCCAACGTCAGCACCGCTGTAGTCGACGTTGTTTTCGATGGACGGACAGGTACCCGCGGCCTCCGTGACAGCGGCTAGGACACCGACGGCGAGGATGAGAAGCTTGGCGCCAAGCATATTTGCACGCTCTGGTTAGACCTTTGCAAGCAAATTGATGAATGAGGGATTTCTAAGGCCCAGTGCACAGCTCAGGACCACCAGGACGAAGTCGGGAGAGACCTTCAGGGCATCTGGCACAATGCAACGTTCCCATATGTTGAATTTTAGCCTTTTGGTGTCCGTCGGTAAGGCTTCAACAATCGTTACTCACGGACTTTGCATGCCGATTGTGGGGATTTGAGGATCGGG